AAAATAAAATCTTTGTGCAGCTAATAGTACCACACTTAGCATTCTTTTCCAATGGAATTATTGTAAGACATGCGACACGTTTACAGTCGCATGCAACACTGTTAGTTGGCCTTGTTGATTGTTTGGGTTTTTTAATGAGCGAGGCGAGGGCCAACGTATAACCCTCCTCCGCCGTATGTTTAAATGTAAGTCCGATTTGGAATGATCGGCAGGGATATGAAGATGGCTTTTCGTCGTCTTAAAGTTATATGGATTTCTTTAATGTTCGTTTACTGTGTGAGTTAGTATACGGTTTCCAAGGCAACCTGTCACGACGACGGCACATTTGTTTGTGCATCATAACAAATAATCGTGTCTGGTTTCAACAAGTCAATAAAGACATTGAAGTAAATATTGTAAACACGGGTAAAATCGTTACTTTTCATTGTTTCATTAGCCACGACGGTTTTACAGGTAGACTTGGGCATAATTATTGGATGCATTGGAATGTTTCACTTCAATAACAAGGGGCTAGGCCCAGTATTTTCGTACCCCTAGACTTGGGAAAGATTTGCAGCTTTCATCAAAGAAAAAGAGGATCTAAAATTTGAGACAGAATGGATGAGGAGGCTGCTTTGTTAGGACGAAAAATGGACCTTTCAACGGCCTCCTCACACACCCAATCGAGGAACCGGAAGCAGGGAGGAGGACCGACAGATGAACTGATGACCTGCTTGCTGGGCTACCCATTACTGACTCTTGAGGTGAGTTTACATGTATACTTAAAAATAAACTTGAGCAAGTCGAACAGAACGAATCAAAATGGGTCAACTGGCAATTTTTTGATGTTCTTCTACACAGAGAAAGCATTGCTTTGTGGAGTAAATTCAAAGTTTTCTTTCTCCTTTTTGTACTTTAGAAAAGGAGCACCGACAGGCTGGATGAGGAGGCTGCTTCCAGTCGGTGAGGATGAGAGGATGTAACTCCAATTTGAAACCATCACATCAAGACAAAACCGAGGAACCGGAAGCAGGGAGGAGGACCGACAGATGAACGGATGACCCTGCTTGCTGGGCTTCCCATTACTGATTCCCGAGGTGAATTTTACTCAAGCAAAGTAATTTATACCTAAGCTGAAATGAATATAATAAGACTGAATTGCTAATCTGTCGCACTGCTGTGCATGCCTTTACGAATTGCTTATGTTAGTTCATTCAAGGAACCAGAAAGAATATACCAAGGGGCAGAGGAAAGCCCCAGTCAAGAAATTGTGTGAGGTCGGGGTGCCTAAATTCCATGCCAACTCGCCAAAACTTGCCAAAATAAAAGAAACAACTTGGTTTATTAAGGGATATAAGCAAATATTCAGTAATTTATTAATAAAATCTCTAACCATGGGTGTGTATAACAATGAAGACATACTAAAGCTGATGTGCCACTATTTTTCGTTGTGAATTAGTGCAAAAACATTAACTATTTTAGAGAGAGCTCTGAATATTTTAGTTTATAGTATTTGTTTTATTTTCTTTCTTTGTAGATTCTCCAAGCTTTCACCAGCGCTCATCATATCCAAAGATGGCTAGCCACCTTCCCACGCATCCCCTCAAGAAGAAAATTAAACTAACAATGATTTGATTTCGAAGTGGAGTGTAGACTTGGTTATAATGCTTTTAAATTTATATAGAAAAAGAATCATGGTTTAAAATGGCATTTTAGAAAACTTTTTGAACAGTTTGATTTTCAAAGTTAACTTGCGGAATATTGAATAGAAATTGGGATTGCATATTTCATTAATATTTTTCACTTAGGCAACATTACAAAAAATAAAAAGAAATGTCATTATGTTTGCATTAAATTATCCATGCCTGTAACATATCTTAGACTTATATAAAACTGCAACAGATAATTATTATCTTGATAGTATATTGCTTACGATTTAAGTCATAAAGAGTTTTAAACACTTTCAAAAAAAGTAAAAACTATCGATTTACGATATTTGAAAAATTTAACACATTTAAGACCTAAACTTTCTTTCCAATCTTAAATTAGATATAAAACGAAGGAAGAATGCTTAACTTTTGGAAACTGTGAAATATTGCTGGGATTTGTTCAGTATAACTTCCATTACCCCTTAGTGTTGGAAATATTTGTGGAAGGTTAAGTACCCCTCCCCTCAATTTTATTTTACCTGCCTTATTGAGGCACTCTTTGTTTACATAAAAATGTAAATACAATTTTATTTTTTATTTCAATTGAGATATTACGTTTATTGCATTGCAACAGGTAACTAGCACTCAAAATACACTTGCGTTTATCCTTTTTATATATTTGAGTGCACACTTTTACTAATATTTAACTTTATTTTTCACTGTGTGTTTACTGGTGGTTTTGCATGTCTATTCATTTTATTAATTGTTTAATTAACACAACAAAAGGATAAACGCAATGTATACCGAGTGCTAAACTTGCCTGGCACCTCATATCAAAAATTGTATCCACATGATAGCTAAATTAATCAAGATAAACGTGGGGGAAATACATTTAAGCAACTATGAATAGTTTCTTCTTCTTCTTCTTCTTCTTTTTTTTTTGGGGGGGGCTGTCTCGGCTTTCATCTTCCAATTTAATTTATTAATTCGTAAAAAAGGAAAATGCAAAGAATCAACTTACCCTACAGTTGTTGCTATGCTATGCCCTTTTCACCTCAACCCTATAATATTCTTACCTTTTTATTAAGGTATATTTTGTGTATGAAAAGCTATAGTTCAAAATGTCCAAATTTGATTGCTTCTCACCCAATTCAAATGTTCATAATTATAATATGTTTTTACATGTATATTAGCTTTTACTTACCTATTTTATTTCTAACTTTGTTAGTCAACTGAGGGCATTTGACCAATCAATGGCGGTTGCTCTTAAAATCCAACCAATGCAATCACGTTGACTGCCACAGATTTTGATGGCACTGTCATTCCCCCTATAATCTTGCTTGAGATGGAGTTGTCGACAGAACAAAGTATTGGAATCATGTTGCATTGAGAGAATATAATATGAGTGCACAATCAGTTCACATGATCTGTCTAAAATAAATCTGAAATATTTGCTTGGTACTTTATGGCATTCTGGAAAATCGTGATTATTGTCAGTTTTTGTTATGTAGGAACTGGTTAAACACTGTATACCAATCGGGTGTAAAGAATAATAAAAACAAAGAAATGAGACCGTTGTTGGTAGTTTGTCAATTATTGTTGCCTTTATGCGTGGTTTGTTATGTAGTTTTGAATATGGCGATTGGAGACGGGGTCGCAGGTGATCAAGGAACATAAAAAACTTGTTTTTTTGTAAGAGCAATCTATACACTTTAAAGATGCATACCCCGCGCTCTTAAAAAGAAAATGGATTTTTCGCCTTGCGAACATTCGATTTGTATGTTTTGTTTGAGAAAAGTACACAATAAGCGCTGGCCGCTTTTAATGAAAGTCTTGAATGATGAATTGATTGTGCGTGTAAGACCGCCTCCCACGCGAAAATGGCGCGCTGAAAATTGACCAAAATAAACCTATAGGCCTAAGTTTCCCATAAAAATTAGCGCGCTTTATACCACGTGACTGTAACTTTACTGCACATTATCTTGCCTCCATTTCAGTGGCGTAGCTACGGGGGGCGTGGGGGGGGGGGGGCGACAGCATGAAACCTTGTCGCCCCCAGTCGCCCCCCCCCCCCCACTGAGATTTTGAGTTTCTAAAATAATTATCATTGATGTACATGACGCCCCCCATGAAATGTCCCAGCCCCCCCCCCCCCCCCCCCCCCCCCCCCCCCCCCCACTGAAAAATTCCTGGCTACGCCACTGCTCCATTTACAAATTGTTCATAAACAACTGTGCGAAATGTAACAAACATTGTTTTTTAGTATTTCATTTCTTTTGATTGCTTTTATCTTGAAATTAAAATTTGGTAGTTAGGCCTATATTTTACGGGAAACTTTGGAGCTAGTTTTTGGTCAATTTTCCGGGACACACAAAAGTCATGCAAAATAGACGCGCATTCGCATCAATTAATTCAAATGAAAGCCCATTTCCCGATAACTTTCGTCAAGAGTGCATTTACTGACGACGCAGGGTATTTGGTAAATTTTTGGTCAAATAGTTTTGGTCAATAACGGGGTTAGACAGCTACAGACCGACCGACCGACCGACCGACCGACCATTAAGAGACATGTAGAAGCTGACAGAGCTTAAAACTACTTTTAATTATTCAGATTTTGGGCATTTTCAACCCTATCAAAAGGGCTTTCATTTTGCGCACATAATAATATGAACCCGCCCTGGAAGAGTCGGCAGACAACAATTCGAATTTTGTGAAGAAATAATTCAATAACTAAATAAACTTCGGTGGATCTTTCCGTTCGATGTCTCATTCAAAAGTGAATAACTTAAACATCGCTAGGACAGAAATACCAATTTAAAAAAAAAATCTAAATTTCGGGGTGTTATTCGAAAATAGCATGGGGAACGCATCTTCAAAAACATGTATGACCCCCAAAAAATCCCCTGGGCTCAAACACTTTGCAAGCTTGATCAATACAGCGGAAGTGTTATCTGGGCACTTTTATCTTGGCGTAAGTGGGGCTGGTTCATGAATAATAACAATTATTTCATTACAATAATTTATTGTATGTCAAGTTATTATTAACAGTGGCGTGTGCAGGGGCGTAAATTTGCGCCTCCCCTGGCGACATTTTGTTGTTTTTAAGACGGTTTTAAAACGGTTCAGACGTCGTTACAGTAAAATCTTAAATTGCCCCCCCCCCTCTCTTCCCCGGGATGTTACGTACGCTGTTCATGAACCAACCGCCACTTGCGCCCAGATTGTGCTTGACCGACCACTTCCTACCGATGAGGGCAGTATGTCTAGTTAACGGTGCGTGCAAAATGGCAAATATCTGTCGATGAGGGCAGTATGTCAAATGCACAGAGGTCCGTGGTGTACTGTGTGTGGAGATGGGCACCGTACCCCCTGGATACCAACGCCGCATGAATGTATCCAATTATCTCCTTGGAACAGGTGGATTATAGTCCCGGTAGAAATAACCAATTTAGTCACGTGACACGTACCTTGACCACACATCAAATGGGCCGCGACGGAGACCGGCTAGATTCGTAACGCGTGGACAGTGGTACAATACGAGACACCGCGCCTCACCTGTGCTGTGGAGTGAAGTCAACTTCACCCTTTCTTTTCCCAAATCTTCCATTTCCAACGACACAATGCCGAGCTTAAACACTATCTTCTTGAATCTTCTACTGCCTGTCATCTTGGCCGTCATTTTCTTTCGATCCTCGGCGTTGACAACCCTCAGGGATGGCGTGAAGCCCCTGTTCATTCACAACCGACTGGAGTCCAACGACACGGTAGCAGCGGGCACCGCCGGTCAAGTAGCCCAGGCAATCGACGCTTTCCTCAGCCCAAACTTCCTGCTCTCCCTGGTGCTGAGTGCGGTCTCGGTGTACGTTGTGGTGTACCTTTACCAGGTCTTCTTCGTGCCGCTCAACTGGTCTCGGGATGAGGGGGATGTGGGTTATATTTTGGACGATCGCGGAGGGATGAGCAAGATGGACGTCGCAAATGAGATGCGGCGTCGTCGACGGATGGGGGACATTCCGCCGGTCTTCCCCAATGGCTGGTTTGCACTGTTCCGGTCATTTCAGGTGCAGAAAGAACCTCGTTACATCAGTGCGCTGGGTAAGTGGAAAGATGTCTTGATTGCATGCAAGGTTGAATTTAGTTTTCACCACCGCATTCTTGATTTTGGAGGTTGATCTATCGTGAGACTTCAGAGCAATTCCTACTAGTCCGAGGGAATATTTTAATTTAATCTTGAAATTGCTCCTGACTTGAACAACATTTAGTTTTGACTTTGCAGACTTGAGGTCAACATTAGATGGGAGGAACATTTAGTTTATAATAGACTCAAACTGGGGCACTAGAACTCCTTTTTTTTTCGAATGTTGTCTTTTGTCAGTGTAGTACGACTGACCGACCAAAAACAAAATTTGAAGAAGTAAAAAAAGAAGTTCTACCTCCCAAGTTACTGGGTCTACTTATATCACAACGAATTATCGTCAGTGTCATCAGTTTGGCAACAGAAAGAGGATCTTGACCAGAAGTTGACCTTCCTTGCTTCTTTTCATCTTAAAAGATGATGTTATACGTAATACAATACAAGATGTGATTCAATGGCATTTTCGGTCTATAATTAGACAAATTTTGAGATGAATAATATCAGGCCTTCGTTCTTAGCATGAACATTTTAATGATTCGCAACCTATCAATTTAACACTAATAATGGCGTAGCTAGTGCCTCGTTGCTAAGCAAATGCTTCCAACCATGAAGATGACATACCTCCAACAGGTTGTACAACTACATTTAGACCAATTTCCAACAGTGAGACTTGAAGAGATGAGACTCATCAGCGAGCTACATGTAGATACCCAAATCATTTTGTTTGCCATGTATCACAAGAAGACTTTGTGCAACCCATTTGATGTCATGCGTTAACAACATAAATTTGAAAAATTAGACCTTTTATTTTATGGTATTTTTGAAGTTTTAGAGCACTCCAGCATAAAAATGATAATTTAGAGAACTATGTCTTTCAGTGGTCTACCTCATGGCTTCACCCTCATTTTGTAATTTAAACAGGTCACAGTAAACTTTGTTCACGTGTGCAAGAGAGAATGACTGTGTGCAAATTTGTTAAGAGACTATTCCTAGCCTGACAGAAAACACAGAAACTAAATAGACTTTTGTGTTGAGGGGAATCAACTTTACCTATCAAACTTTCACCCAAAGTTCACAACGTCAAAAACGGATGGGTCATGGCATAAAGGTTTGCATGATAACAATCTCGTGGGTGTCACTCTTTTTATAAATGGGTGTAGTTTTAAAGTGTGTTGACATGGTTGACGGCAAATCTGCAACTTGTTAGCAAATCCGTGGAATTGTCCGTTGCACAATGTACAACTTTGTGTATGAATAGCTGAATTCAGAGCTTATTTTTATTGAAAACAAAATACATACATACATATTAAATTAATACATTGCAATTGTCGAAGGATTTATTATAACATAGAAAAGGAGCTATTCTTTTCATCTCTACACAAAAGTGTACCAAAAAGGTACACTTTGTGTCGGACTAACCAAAAAGTTAAATGTATTAAAAAATCTGAGTACATGTACATGATTTGCTCAATACATGCACATAACATGTATGTTGCCTTTCTCCCTTTGTCCAGGTTCATTTGCATGGATATTTATTGGTCACTCATTATTTTGAACAGCGGAAGGGATGAGACTTTGATCACGTACACACAAAACCATACAATATGCATATTGCCAATTCGCAATGAGTATTCCTGTGGACTCTTCATTCTTTAGTAACACTGGAAGCCATGCATTGGATAGTCTGAAGGCAGACTAAAAAATGGTGGACCATGGCAGGCCATTTAAGGTTGCAGACCAGTAAATAAACTTCCATAGACCCCAATGGTAAATGCTCCCACTTCAGAAATTCGGGAAAAATACTCACAACTCTCCAAGGAGTTCGAGACACACATCAAATTAAAGCTTATTTCATCATCTTTCATTTTCTGTTCAATTTTTGGGGGGTCAACTGATGACTTTTAGGAGAAATTTCCATCCGAAGATGATCACCCCTGAAAATAGTCCTGAAGCCCATTGCCATTTTGAAAAACGATGCCTACACTCCATTGCAAAATAGAGCGCTTTAAGGGCCCCAATTTCATCCAAATTGAACGGAACTACAAGCTCACAGTCCTGTGCACGGCTTCCACCCATATTTTTTACAAACCCTCAAGTTCATGGCCCACAGCATGCTCAAATACTGAAGATTTTGAGGGCATGCAAATCGTGATTTGGCCGGCGTAGGCAATTTCGGACCGATTTACTGGTCTGCAACCTTAAAGTCTGATAGTGGCCAGTGTGGCAAACTGGCAATTGTCAGATCAACCTGTGACATAGGGGTCAACCTATAATTTAAATATCTAAACGTGTACCAATCAGGTGCTGCATTGTCGCGTGATGCGCGATGAGTTTGCAGGTGGGGACTGGGGGCGTCACAGCCAAGAGGCATGGCAACTAATCAAATATCGGAAGCATGTCCCATGAGGCTGTTGCCTGTCCTCCTGTACACGTGTAATATGAAATCAGCTCTGCGGTCTATGCATTGGTGACATAGTGTCCAACTACATGCTTTGTCTGAAGGAAATTCATGTTCTATCTGTACATTTGACAGCGTGATGCTTTTGTTTAGAATTTTTGCAGTCGCTGGGTCTGTGTATTCCTGGGTCTGTGTATTCCTATCTACAGCCTGTCTAAAAAAAAATGGTACAATCAAAAACGAATTTTTTTTTTTCAATATTAAATCTCAACATAAGTAAGTCGTTTTGAGCATCACATTAAAGAAAAAAGACCAGGCTTTCCAATACTTTTTGTTTCATCTCATTTGCTTTTGTCAATCCAGAGATAACTCCAGTTTACTGCGGAACACAAAAATCGAGTTTGTTTCTTTTGCCAAGTTGCAATCTTTTGTGAGCTTCAAGACAGCATGGCACAGTACTCGAAACTACTCTGCCCATGCATAAAAGTGGCACAAAATCGATTTTGGTGTCTCTCACTAAATTTATTATATCTCTGAATTGACAAAAGCAAATAAGATCAAACAAACACTATTGGAAAGCCCAGTCATTGTTCTTTAATATTAGGCCAACTGCCAAGTAAGAATGACTTATTTTGAAATTTCATATTTAACCAATTTTTTTCTGATTGTACCATTTTTTTTGAGACAGGCTGTACTGTGCAGCAGAATGGTTACGTGTAAAGTTTTCCGTACATAAACAAAATGTTGGTTAATGTTTTGTTTAAATTTGCTGAAATTAGACAGAAAAAAAAGTTATTCAAACTACCGGTATCAAGACCAAGTTTGAGCAGAGTTTCAAGTTCTTTCGGATAATCTGAATGCGTGCACGCTGCAGTGAAAAGCACAAACTTCAACTGAGCACATCCATTGTCGTATCACAGATACGAGGTAAATGGTCAGGAAATTGTGAAATGTACACGTATTCCTTGACCGTCATTTCACCTTCTGACCTGTGTGATATGTGTACCTGTATGTAACGTTCAAAAGGGATTTACATAATTTGCAAACATCGAAAAACAAACCTACCAATTTTTTACGAAATACCTTACTAGGATGTTGGTAAATTACAGTCTAAATCATCCTGTAAAATTATGGCACCATGTGTGAAGTCATTTTCAAGAAAAGTGGTATTTTGTATAAATTTCCAATGGTGGTCGGCCGACCACCGTTGGAGAAACCTACCTATTTTTAAGCTACTGCTCCAAATTTACCATTTTTTTTTCAGTCCAAATTTTGTTTGCTATTGGTTACATGTTCATGAACGGGTGCAGGCCAGTTAGACTGGTTCCATTACCTTACAATTTTCTGGCATCTACATGTATAAATTGGTCCATTTCATCTTTAGTGAGGTCAGGGAGCCAGACTACTTGAACATTTTTGTTTTTCTTGGTTTTTCCAGTTTTTTTGAACACAAAACTTCAAACATGTCAGTGTAACAATATTTGATCTGTTATACTAACCCCTCAAAATAGTTCATTTCTGAAAATTACAGCAAAAGCCAATGATGTACATTCCCTTTAAAACCCATTTTCCTCCAAATATCTCACCCACATGCAACTATGATTATGAACTTTTAACATATTACATGTAATCTACCTTTGAAGATCGACGCTAATTTCAACACTGGTAAAATTCTGAAGTTATAAAAATAGAAAATTGTCTATTTAAAGATTTCCTGTGGCAAAGATGTGTACGTGCATTTTCATTTAATTTTTCCAACAATAAAGGGCAAAGGTCATTTGCTAAATAAATACTGGTCATGCAAGGTCTTCAGACTTATCAAGTGCATAGCATACGCGTACTGTACACGTTGTGCAATATTTCAGATAAGAATTGTCTTTCTTGTGGTATATAGGTCTACTTTTTAACGGGGAAGTATACACGGAAGACGCTGTGCCGGGACAGCAGAAAGTCCCATAACTCGGTCCTTATTTGCCTAACAATAAAAAACTTCCCCATAAGGCCAAAAAAAATAAGTCTCCGGCTTCTGGTATGGAGCTTGCCCAAAAAGTGGTGCGGCGACGCGGCTTTTTTTTTTTTTTACCTGATTTTTTTGCCTCAAATGTCGGCTGATGACTGCAAATGGTGCCCGACTAGACTTAGTGCAAATACATGGGAGTCCAGAGAAGCCACATAAAGCTTATTCTCGATCATAACCCCATCTAAAAACACGTTAAAATTGTGCAGCAGCAGGATTCCAGTCAAACCAGTGAATTTGGCGGTTTTTAGACATCATATTTCATTGAAAAAAACCTTTTTCATTTTGCTGAAGCGCATGGCTACGGCGACGTGCGCGCATACCAGAAATCTGAGACTTTTTTTTTTGGCCTAATGCCATGAAGGCCCGCCCATAATATCTAGCAGTGGTGCATGGTACATCTAAATTTTATAAAAAATGAGTGGTGTCGAAGGTTGTGGAAGAAATCAACCAAAAAAGTCTCAGCACACCAGTGTGTTGTGTGATATCAGGGAAAAAGCAATTTCTTCTCCCACTCATGAAAACCATGTAAAAGAAATAATAAAACCAATTACAAAAAACCCCAAAGCCAATACATTTGTAACCCATGGCCTTCACATCGGCCCTTACATCGGTTTTGTTTTATGGGTAATACAGAATTTATATTCATATTTAGAAAAGCAACGTTGAGATTGGCTTTATTATCCAATAGTAATCAAATGTGCAGGTAGGCCTATATATCAGCTATGTACAATGTACATGTACCTGTAAGACTTGTGACCAGACTCCAATGGCCAGTGAAGCAGCTCTAGCAATCTAGCAGAGGTGGCAGCAAGTCATTTTTTGCAAGTCCAAGTCAAGTCACAAGTCATTGTTTGCAAGTCCAAGTCAAGTCACAAGTCATTAGGTCCAGTCACAAGTCAAGTCACAAGTCATTAGGTCCAGTCACAAGTCAAGTCACAAGTCATTTGGTCTAAACACAAGTCAAGTCACAAGTATCTTTGTCCAAGAACACGTCAAGTTGCACATTGTTTTGTCTAGCTGTAATAAGCTAAAAGAACCTGGCGTCAAATTACGAGTTATATTGAACATGCCTCCTTAATTCCCCTTTTTCAATGTGTTGCTATTACTATTCTTGTAGTTTATCACATATCTGTCGGATATTAGCCCTTTGTATACTTTAATAAATTTACTTTACATTGTAGAAATAAATTTTGAGATGACATGAAAAAAAGACTTCACTCACTCGATTACATGTAGTATACTAACACTTTATTGTTCAATTTTCATGTATACTAAACGCCTACCAATGGGTTAGGCTATCCGGTATTTTACATGCAATTGACAAAGGCCTGCTTTCTTTTCATGAAAGGTTCCTTTCAAAGTTTGTTCAACATTACATTAAGCAAGAGACTTGGTCATTGAAAACTGTGTAGTTTGTTGTGACAGTCTTATTGAAAACTTTTGAAACTAGTGGGAACTATTCATTTTACTGGATTTAGCGTCTGACTTGGGTTGGTAACAAGTCTTTTTTTGCAATCCCAAGTCAAGTCACAAGTCATTGTTTGCAAGTCCAAGTCAAGTCACAAGTCAAAGCTGGTATTTACAAGTCAAGTCACAAGTCACAAAAATAGCGACTCGAGTCTGACTCGAGTCCAAGTCACATGACTCGAGTCAGCAACTCTGCAATCTAGTTAGATAATTCTTGATAGAATTGTTCGTGTTTTTTTTACATTACAAAATTACACTCTTGCAAAGAATTATTAATTCGGTAGGACACGATGTCATCATTATATTATGCAGGCCCCTTACCTACATGTACATGTACACCACTATATAGTTTCTGTAACCCTAAATCTATCAGGTCTCTTATCAAAAGACAAACATGCATGGTTTGTATTTTTTCATTATTTAACAGATTAGATGGTGGGTTTCATAATGTCATGTAATATAATAATGCCACACAAATAATCCCTCACACTGAAACACTGAAAATAAATTGAACATGAGCTTTTTGAAGTAGTGAATTTTTCGTATAATTTACTCTTCAATTAGTTGGATTTTTGTTGTATTCAGCATGGCCCTATTTTCGATTTGGTTAAATTTCAAGGCTTGTAATAATAGAGACCCAGATAATGGCGCACTGATCTCAGGAGTACAATCAGTGTACACATATTTGTGTACATTAGAACAGTTGGAAGTCAGGAAAAGGAAATGCCTATGAAGTTTAGAAAAACTGGATTCGCTTTAAGCTTTGCAAACAATTAAAGGGAATGTACATCATCGGCTTTTGCTGTAATTTTCAGAAATGAACTATTTGAGGGGTTAGTATAATAGATCAAATATTGTTTAACTGACATGTTTGAAGTTTTGTGTTCGAAAATGCTTGAAAAACCAAGAAAAACAAAATTATTTAAGTAGTCTGGTTTCCTAACTCCACTAAAGATAAAATGGATCAATTTATAGATGCCGGAAAATTGTAAGGTAATAGAACCAGTCTAGCTGGCCTGCACCCGTTCATGAACATGTAACCAATAGAAACAAAATTTGGACTGACAAAAAATTGCAAATTTGGAGCAGTAGTTGAAAAATAGTTAGGTTTTTCCAACGGTGGTCGGCCGACCACCGTTGGAAATGTATACAAAAATACCATTTTCTTGAAAATGACTTGACACCAGGTGCCATAATTTTACAGGATGCTTTAGACTGTCATTTACCAACATCCTAGTAAGGTATTTCGTAAAAACTTGGTAGTTTTATTTTTCGATATTTGCAAATGTTGTATTCCCTTTAACATCATGTGCATGACATGTTCCATTTTATTGTCAATACAATTCTGGTGTGCTGTTACTATGCTACAGTTATGTACAGCTGTAATTGTTATCTAGACTCTTGCTGCTCGTCCTACTGTTGTTTTATTTATGTGGTTTCGTATTTCTGTTTGAGTTTTGAGGGAAGGGTTCACAAGGAAGTAAAAGTTACGAATGAATTAACTGCATTTTAGCTCTGAACTTTAACCAGTTAATCGGAGGACATGTAAACATAAAATCTGGCAATGTACATTGGCAGGGGCGGGTGACGGGTTAAATCATCAGGCTTTCCCTGAGTCTTGGATTTATTAACCCTCCGACGCAGAAAGCCCATTTAGTAACACACTTACAGTAAGGGGTCCCCCGGGGACCCAAATATTTAGCGCCACGGTTTGAGGCTACACAACACTGTATCCACATGAACACAATCTTGCCATGTCTGTAGACTAAGGAGGTGTATTTGTATACATAGTCTGTGGTCAAGCCGTTGCACTGTCTACTCGCAAGTGACCTTGTTTGTGCACGTGTATATGGTGGGTCCCCGGGTGGGCATAAATTGCGTCGGTCCTTAGCCCAGGTTGTCATGCTCAGATATGCCTGACCCGGGGTCACACACTAAAGGTGACTGCATATATCCGTAGAGGGTGTCTCTTGCTAGGATTAGATGGAAGATCACCAGAATTGGTTTGAAATTTCTTTTTTAATTAAGGTAATTAACCAAATTGGGTCTCCAAAATGGCTAGATTCTGCGCTGGAGGGTTAACTAGCTTCCTCAGATAGTGCAGTGGGTACAGCAGAGGGAACATGAACACGTACATCATGAACATGTACCTTGCTCGCCACTGTATAGGCCCCCCTATTTGTCGCTTTGCTCCTTGTATGATAGATTGTTGTCAGTGATAAACTTTCATAAAATCTGCTTAAATTCATTCCTGTCATATTACAGGCCATGAGTTGGTAGTGTACCGCGGCGAGACTGGCCAAGCCTTCATCGTGGATGCATACTGCCCTCATCTGGGGGCCAACCTGGGGGTCGGAGGTCAAGTCAGGGGGGACTGCATCGAGTGTCCATTCCACGGCTGGACGTTCCGAGGCGACGACGGCAAGTGTGTCAAGATCCCGTACGCTGAGAAAGGTGAGAGAAACCTGAGGGGTAGGTCGCATGGCCTGGCCTTGTGGACCTCATGGCACCTTGTGACCTACCGATGAGAGCCATGGTCTGAACACGGCCTCAAAAGCTCTCAGGGTGGATTGAGTTTGAGCATGGCAAGCATGTCATTGACTTAATTAATGACAAATGATGTAGGGGTCAAATTAATTTTAAAGTTCTTACAGACACACATAGGGCACATTCGTTTCGGTAGGGATCCAAATTCGTATCCTTGGACCAGTACCGTGCCTTGTAAAAGTAAGTAACATCTGTCGCAAGCCAATGTGGTCCATCAGGCGAGCGTTTATCTCTGGTTTCAGAAGCATGAAACAACTGAGAATATTTTCTATCCCCCTGGATGGGATGCTAGCCCATCGCAGGTTACTCCCCAGCTAATGCTGGTGCCCATTTACACTCCTGGGTGGAGAGAGGCAAGTGGGAGTGAAGTAGCTTGCCCAAGGACACACTATATGGCCAGCAGCTGGATTCGAACCCCTGACCCTCTGATCAAGAGCCACAAACCCTAACCACTAGGCCACACTTCCCCACCATGCTGTTCCGTGCCTTAACAAACAAAAGTGCACCTGATCCAGATCTTAAAACATGTGACTGACCAAAAGTAAGCATTACTGGGTGGCATGGGTGGCTTGTGCGTAAAGCGCTCGCCTCTCACCAAGGTGACCACGGTTCGAATCCTGGTCGTGGATCCTGGCCTGGCAGCGGATCACATGTGAGTAGAGTTGTGCGTTGGTTCTCTCCTGTGCCACAAGGGTTTTTCTCCGGGCCCTCCCGTTTTCCTCCCTCCGGAATAATCAAACCCTTTTGATCTCAGGCTGTGCTCCGTGGTCAGACATGGGTGACGTTGCTGGCTGCCTAAGGCGCCTTTACATGCCAGCAGCTCAACCACGTTGTAGCCGCGTCCTTCGCAATTCAGCTTCTCAGCTGCCAGTAAGGATGATTAGCCTCTCAAATTATTGTAATTATTATAAAAAAATTCCAAAACCGGGCTTGGTCTCCGTCTCTGGGTTCAGGCACGTAGCATTCGCTGCGAAATTCTCCGGAGTTGAAATGTGTTCAACTTCTGCCATTTCGCAATGTGATAAATTGCCCTCAGGCTGACGTCACACAAATTTGCGTTCGCTTTCAGTATGAACTGTCCTTTACACTTGCACAATCATTGTTCCTGCAACCAATTAAACGGGTTTCCAAAGTACATGGGCATCTCAAGTTTAAGAATGTGTGGTGAAGCGAAAAAATACCTCCCCAGTAATGGCTGGTAGCTGTGGACGTCACAAAGGGAAAGTCACAATTTGACGATTTGACTGTTACGCTGGAACTTTTCGACAAACATTTACAAAATTTTCCGCCGTGTAGAGGACACTCTTAGAATGTTAATCAATTTTTATTCACTACTTAAATTTTTTGATACATTTTCTTACGCAAATTTGGAACTTGTTTTTTTTTTCAGTTCCTGACTTTGCCAAGATCCGATCCTGGCCGTGCCTGGAGAGGAACGGTGAGATCTTTGTCTGGCACCATGCTGAGGGGGCGGAGCCAAGCTGGACACCCCCGGAGGTGGAAGAGATTACCAGCGGCAAGATGAGATACCACGGAATCACCGAGCACGTTATCAATGCCCATGTGGAGGTAACACTATTTTGCTTTCATTCTGAGACCATTCATATATTTTACTTAATAGGCCATCAGCCTGGGGTTTGGTCGGTATCAAATCAGGGGAATAATGCTCATTGTGATTTTTGGCCAGGTATGCACCCCCGTAGTTGGAAAATATGTGATAGAATTGCAGCGGTGGCAGCTTTTTGGGTGCTATCACTTTAAAAAAAAAAATGGCGGCCAAAACATCCTTGTTAGCACATATAATTAATCCGGTAACAAGCATATTGGCGGCCATTTTGAAAAAAAAAATTAAAAGTGATAACACCCAAAAAACTGTCACCGCTGACACTGCAAAGCTGTCACACATTTTCCAACTCTAGATGTGCATTCCTTGCCAAAAAATCACTATGAGCGTTGCTCCTTTCAATCATTTGATACCGGTGGCCCAACTTTTGGACCGGAGCTGAAAGCCTATAACTCTTTGAGCATAGAATTAATGGCCTTGTGTATGGGCTCCATGCTAGAGTAAAAGATGACACTTTCAGAACACTGTCAAGAACCCCAGTAGGGGCGCATAATGGATTGTGTGCGTATGGCGCAAATTGCACGCGACCAATATTATTCTGTTATAAGATGGAATTTTGCGTCGGGGTGATATAAATCAAATTAGGTTTTGCCCTTCACTGATGTTTAAACACTGTATACTCAGTGTGTTACCTCCCGAGTGAAAGTTGCAAAAATCACTCAGGTGGAACTCGAACCCACGACCTCCTGCTTTCTAGTGCAGATGTCTTACCACTCGACCACCGAGCTAACGGGATCGGTTGGCTGGTTCGAATCTGATGTACATAGCAGCGGGTACCGCATAAACTATTATAAGATGGAATTTTGCGTCGGGGTGATATAAATCAAATTATTGGTTTTGCCCTTCACCGACGTTTAAACACTGTATACTCAGTGTGTTACCTCCCGAGTGAAAGTTGGAAAAATCACTCGGGTAGGACTCGAACCCACGACCTCCTGCTTTGAGTCCCACCCGAGTGATTTTTCCAACTTTCACTCATTGCTGTCAAATATCCAAAATCAAAACCGAATAGTGGAATTCAAACCAAATTTTGAAATGCCCGGATATTATCCCACCACTACTCAAGAGACCTTCGTGTCATATGACTTTTTTAAACTGTTTTGATCATTCTTTTTATCACAGGAAGTGCCGGAGAATGGAGCCGACATTGCACATCTTGGTCATCTACACAAACCTATCATGTTCCTGGGTAGAGACCTTCGTGTCATTTATAACCTGTGAGTGATCATACATTATTCCTGGAGTCATGAACTACATGTAGACGCACTTATCAGACAGCACTATAGATCTCTCTCTCATAGGACGCCATCTTTGTTGGAAAATTACAACTGTGCATTCCCATATTTATTTTTCTGAAAGTAACGTTATAACAATGCTAAAGAAGGTTTTGCACACAAACTGTACCACACCATTCTCCGGGTGATGTTTCAAATAGTAACATTTGTTATTAAATGCGCCCCACCCTATTTTTTGTGCGCCAGTAAAAAGTGGCACGAAGAGTGTGCCAATTAAAATTTGCGTGCGGCGATTGATATGGGGCGCTGGAGTGTTTTGCATAACTGTAAAAGGGCTTTATCGTGCCAAAAGGATGTGAAAAATGAACCACCGTCGACAAAAAATTTACTGTCGACAAAAAAGTGGCACCTGAAAATAAAGCGTCGCAGCTTTACGATAAAATAACATCACAGTCGTGTTATGCGCAGGGTTTTTTGTTTTTGAATATTCAAACCAGCAAAAAAAAAGCTATTCAGTTGATCGAATATTCAAGTATTCGGTACATGTAGGACAGCCCTAGTGCCAGATCACAATTTATTTGGCCCTGTAAAATTCCATAATTTGTGTTGATTGAGCTTAGAAGCATTCTTTGATGATTGTCTGATGATGATTGTGTTTCAGATTCTGGTCGTTCGCTAAACATGAATGGCAAGGCACATGGGACATTGACGAGGAGAATAAACACACAGGCGTCCTGACTCTGAGGCACCAGTGTACCATCTACGGCATTCCTTTGCCTCTCATGAGTATCACGGCGGAAGCAGTACAGGTAACGATAGGCCTTTAGCATGCTGCCACCATTTCAGTCATGTTCCCTGTATCCAATAGCAGTACTGAATGATAATGTGTTTTGTGCACAAAGGAACCAGACTATTTTTTCTTCCTGCTTCGCTTTGGTTACGTTGATTTGAATGGGAAATAATCAAGATGGCCGCAACATGATAATGGTCTATAGGCCAGACTGGTATTTCAGTACACAAGTCTATTAGGCGTACGTACCCTGCGTGAGTGGAAATTATTGTCTTGGCAGCCAATAATACAATATTATAAAGTAAGGCCAAAAAAAATAAATATTCGGTCTCTGGTCAGACCAGAGTTCCGGAATTGACGCGGGGACGCGGCTTTTTTTTTTTTTCAAGCTTGGATTGTACAGACAAGGTGGGGTACTATTTTGCTTTTTTGGTGTCCTCATGTACATTGGTGTCCTCATGTACATTGGTGTCCTCCATAATTTGCTTTGGTGCTCTCGATCATTTGCCTTGGTGCAATTTCCCATTCCTTGGTGCTCTTTGGTAAAAGAAACTGAGGAGGTGCGGCAATAGAGGGCGCTGTTGGAGCTACCGCGGAACATTTTGGGAAAAAAAAGATTGACGCGCATGATTAAAATCGACGCGCGCGCTGACCAGAGACCGACTTATTTTTTTTTTTGGCCTAATAATGTAGTAACTTAACATGGGCCGATTTTGTTCGATTGCTGGCTGATTCAAAAGTGATTAACTTTTGTATTGCTAGAAAAATGACAATTTAGAACAGGAATCTTTATGATTTTTAGCTGTGGGATAGCAGCTCAACAAATTATCATGTCTCTCCGTTAGTCCGTTAGTTCAAGTAACAAACGTTGACATTGTCTATTGCTCCTACATATTTTGACCGATTTCAACCAAACTTTGTCAAAAGCATCAGTAGCCCAGCCCCAACATGTCACTTGTTGGGTGCTGTGGTCCAATGGTTACGGTGTTCGACTCGTGTGCCGTGGTACATAGGTTCGAATCCTGACCGTGGGAACATGGTGCTTGTGCTCTTGAGCAAGGCACTAATACCATTATTGCTTCGTTCTTCGGATGGGACGTAAAGCCGTAGGTCCCGTGTGTTGTGTAATGCACGTTAAAGAACCCAGTAACACTTATCGCTAAGAGAAGGGGTTTTTCCCCAGTGTTTCTGGCAGTGGCTGCAATATGTGCCACAGCACCTTGTAAACCCTTATAAGTTGCTACATAATGGGTCTCATATTTCTCATAAACTTTATTTACCTTTCTTTAATAATAGACATATCTCCAGCACCTTGAATACCTAATAGTTGGTAGATACGTGCGCTATATGAGACTCCGATATTATTATTTATTATTACTTGACCAAAGGTCAAAGGTCGTCATGGGGTCACTGGGGTCTCAGTTGAGGACGTTATACTCGGTGATTCACTCAGTCAGTCAGTGGCTCAGTCAGAGGACAGTACGCTGGCCCTTCGGACAAGCAGAAAGAATAATACCGACACTAATTCTCATGCTCTGCTCTTGTCTTTGTTTCTCAGGTTGGTCCGGGCCTCGTACATCTCGTTATCCACCATTGGCTATTTGGGGACGCCATTCTGGTCCACACCATCACCCCCATTGAACCCCTCAAGCAGAGGCTGACCCATTGCTGCTGGAGCAGGAGCTTCCCTCGATTTGCTGCCAAGCTCATCCTCTTCTCCGAATGCTTACAGGTATTGATAAAAAAAAAATCGAGGCCTTGCTTCAAATACAGTTGACTCCTATTAAAGAAGCACTCAGGCTAACCCTGCAAAAATATTCATTCATTAATTTTCATTCATTGGGCGGCTGCAGCCAAGATGGATGAAACCAAACTCTTCCGGACTCTCTCGTTCGCCATGGCCGTGGTGATGTCATCAACGTGCTGGCTCACATCATTGCATACAGTGTCGACGTAGTTGAGGGGTCTCCTCCCTCTGTTGGGGCAAGGCAATCTCTCCAGCAGATGAGGTCAGAGACAACTTGCTCTTTGGCTCTGTAGCAGTAACCGGCTAGGCGGGCTCTGCGTTGTGCCACTGTAGTTGAGATAGGTTGGATGTTGCCATAAATTTCTGCCTTTGTCTTATGTTCCTTCCATGATACATTTTGCACTCTTATGAGGATGCAAAACTATTGGTTATCTGAATTAACGGGAGTCACGTTTGTGAGGCATTCTGGCAAAATGAGACAGAACTGGGCAGAGACAAGGCCCTTTAAAGTTTAGTGTTTTGTAGGTGTGAAAATGAAAGATACCAATAGTTTTTCCTTAAAAACACTTATATTCCACTATTTTTATACTATTTCTTTAAAGATATAGTCCATCATTTGTAATTTGTGCATTTTGTTCGTTCGAAGCAACAAAAGTGCTCAAGATCTAAAGAAGGGTGCTGAACAACTAACCTGATGAAGTTTCAGCTCAGCTTTAGCTATATATTTCGAGAAAAACAACATTCTAGGATCTCGATTCAAATCAAAAGTTGCTGAATCATGTTTTGAATTGGGCCTGAATTCAGCGTCCGATACGCGTTCTCACTGAGCCGATTGCAGCTACGCGATGTTGAACACTGATCCAACGAATTGTAGCAACCGTGCACGCGTGTGCGTCGTGCCAATGTTTGCGCACGCTTCGCCGAATAACAAAACGAAATACTAATTTGAATTTCCTACTGTGCCTTAAGTTGGAAAGGCCTTCTTTTGTTGATTTCTTCAAAATGACAGCTTGCCAGAAAGAATAATTTCACAGGGAGTTTAGTCCCCTTACTATCTTTCAACCAAGTATGTTTTTCAACAATAATTACGGCAGTTACTTTCTAGATAGCTGCAATTGATGGACTCTGGCTTTAACGTATACTGTTAGTCATCCTGCAAGCACGAGTGGAACACGGAATAATGTAGTGCGTCTGTGCCCATACGGCCTCATGGTATGTGAGACGCAGATGCACTACATTTTCCATGTTCCACGAGAGCGAGTGGGGCAACGAATTTATCGTCAAGCAAACTTGACGCGCAGTAAAGATGGAACACTTACGCTGTACACAAACTTTTCAGCGGTTATCCTATTACACATGCGCGTTGTACGGAATGGCGCGCACATCTTAGAATAGCGCAATTAACGCGGAGTGCGGTATGGACCGTGGCCATGTTACATGGTTATATGTAGCACGGCTTGTTGCCATGGATCAACCAATCAGGATCCAGGATTCAAGTTTACTTGAAGATAAACGTAGTAGACGTATCAAAGATTACTAATATCAATAAATCTGAGAAAAAAAAGTTGAAGCATTTTTCTCCACTACAGCCCGTTCCCAGTTCCGTCTTATTTTGCCCGAACGCCTCACATTTACTTGTTTACAAATTATGTAATGTTCCCAAAAAGGTAAAACAATAGAGTAAAATTATGGAATGTGCGCAGGAACAGCAAACACTAAGGGGCTGTGTTCAAGGTTCTCGTCGGCCAACTGGCGCTTTGCCGTCAAGAATGACCTTTGTTTTAGCAAAAGTAACAAATTGGGGTGACTAATTCTATTTCATCTAAATATTCATAAACCTTTTTGCCTCTAGACATGGGTGCTGATGCGTGGCGGCAATGACATTCAATTGTCTGTCTCTTTCTAACCATTAAGGGGGTCATTGTGTGAGGTTTGATATGCCAGTTGACAGTTTTGGCTGTTTCGCCATAGCATTTGTACACGTTTTCATTGTGGAAGGCACTTTGGGCCTATTTTGAAGCCTTATATCTACAGAACAATAGCCCCCCGATTGGGATGAAAGTTGGTATGTTGTCTACATGTAGACCAGGATGTGTTTTCATTGTGGAAGGAACTTTGGGCACTAAAATCAATCCGATTGCCTTTATACTCGGCACACACTTAAACCAGCATCTAAAGATGTGTGCCGAACATTGACGTCATCATGAGCTATCGGTCACATTTAATGTGCATATTTTGAAGGTCTATATCTACAGAACTACAAGGCCGATAGGGTTGTAAGTTGGTACGTGCCTAGACCAGGATGTGTTATAGATGAAAATTGCAGTGAAGTCACGATGACGTACTTCACGTGGCATGTGACGTCATATTAAAAGTGCATATTTTGAAGGCTTGTATGTACAGAACAACAGCTCTGATTGGGTTGAAAGTTGGTACATTTGTATGTACCTAGACTTTGATGTGTTATAGATGAAAATTGAAGTGACATCACCATGACATCATATCAAAAGTGCATTATTATAAGCCTATACATGTAGCTACCGAACAATTGGCGCATATCACTTTGCAACTTTCTACTGCACATATCTGTCCTATCAGTCTATAAGATGACATAAAAATACAACAACAAATTGCCGAAACAGCCATGTGTTTGTCCACATATATCTAGTTTTTCCATTTTTTTCAAAGTGCATTCATTTTTTTGCCCCTAGGTGGAGCGTGACATGATGGTGTGGAACCACAAGACCTACCTCTCCAAGCCTGTTCTGGTCAAGGAGGACTCCCTGATTGCAAAACATCGCCGCTGGTACTCTCAGTTCTACTCCGAGAACAGTCCTCGATATACGGAGAAGAGGATGGAGATGTCTTGGTGAGGTGAAAGAAAGGGGAAAAATGGTGAACAAGTTAATTGCAGATGATAACAAAATCAAATTCAGATCAGATCTTAGCTTTGGAAACCCCAGCTCTGAAGCTTATGTCATCAGAAATTGGCCAATTTACACCATTATCTGAGCGGGTTTCTTTAGAGTGTATCATAAAACAGACGTCGTAATGAGAGTTGAGTGATTGACACATTATGTACTAGTGTAAAAAAAAAAATTACATTTCGAAGAAGACTTTCAATATTTTGTGTGATTTTGTTGGTCCTTTTTTTTTTTAATGGTTAACCAAGTGTTACAGAAAACCTAAACGTAAAAATGTATATTTAGATACAGAGAAGTTTTAATAATTGTTATAAATCTATAAGATATATGCAGTACAAAAAAAAATGAAAATAATAATCTAGATTTGTGTTGTCTTTCAACATACCGTAGATTATGTGCATCTATTTACATGAATCATGATAAGTACGCAAAATTAAAGCATTTAGAATTTTTTTTGCATACCAATTTTAAATGTTTAATGCCAGTGTGTCCTGCTCCAAAAAATGATGTGTGTGAAATTTTTGCCGAATTTTTAAGAATTTTAGAAAGCATTTTGGGAGTAGTGGTGTGAATTTACGGGTAGTATGGGAACCCATTAAAGTAAAACACAGGTACCAGTAAAAGAACCCAACCCCAACATTCGAGTCCCGGAAGTTGTCTAAGGCCACAAAAAAAAAGTCTCCGGTTTCTGGTATGGAGCTTGCCCAAAAAGTGGTGCGGCGACGCGGCTTTTTTTTTTTTTTTACCTGATTTTTTTGCTTCAAATGTCGGCTGATGACTGCAAATGGTGCCCGACTAAACTTAGTGCAAATTATATGGGAGTCCAGAGAGGCCACATAAAGCTTATTCTCGACCATAACCCAATCTAAAAACACGTTAAAATTGTGCAGCAGCAGGATTCCAGTCAAACCAGTGAGTTCGGCGGTTTTGAGACATCATCTTTCATTGAAAAAAAACCTTTTTCATTTTGCCGACGCGCATGGCTACGGCGACGCGCGCGCATACCAGAAACCGGAGACTTTTTTGGGGGGTCTAAAGAGCTTCATATCTTTACGGTGTAAACTGCAACTTTCGCGAGCGTCATCTGTCGCAGGTGAGAATGCACATAAACGTGAAATCTGTGTTTGTTTTCCCATTTATCCTGGTTTTCATTTTGAAAATTCCACACAAATGGCATTGAAAATCTTTCTTTGTCATTGTCTGAGAACTACTAAGTAATTTGTAAAGTTGGTTACGGGTACCCGATTCCATAATCTGGAACCGGTTCCTGATGTCAGCAGTCAGGTACCTGGTTCCGATGCACACCCCTTTAAGGGAGAGACCAAAAAATGTTGTAAGGAAACTCTTCTCAGAAATACAAAAGCTGGTTTTGCCTTGTTTTAAAACTGAAGGTGGAATAAACTGTCAAAATTATCTTAAAAGATATCTTAGTTGTTACAATAAGCTAGATTACCAAAGGAAAATGTGTTCATGTACAAGTTTCACTTCATGAATCTACTAAAAGCCTTAAAACGATGGACTGTATTTATTTAACGAATGTCAGTTTCTTGTAAAAAAAAAATTAATACAGGGTGGTCCACAAAAAACCCGGAACCTCATACTTCCACTACCCTGAGACTCAAACCACATATCAATGCATGGAGAATCTTTTTAGAAGAAAAATGAAACCAAGATCGCCCGATTCGTTCCAGTAGTTTTTGTTCTAGAGCCTATTTTGTGAAGCAAGGTGGGGGTCATTTTTGTCCCGATGAATTACTAAACCGCGCCCGGGAATTTGACTTGCATTGTAATTGATAGAGGGATTGTTATCTAACAATACCCACATGACAGAAGTAAAATAGGCTCTGCAGCAAAAACTAATGGACAGAATCGGGATATTTTGGTATCATAATTCTTCTCAAAGGATTCTTCATCAATTGGTACAGGTGGTTTGAGTCTCAAGGTAGTAGAATGATGTTCCGGGTTTTTTTTTTGGACCCACCCTGTATAACTTCGGAGCAGACATACATGTAGGTCTTTGTGATAAAACAAAAATGAGCTTTAATTATTCAAGTACATTTTTTTCTATTTGTACATGATCACCATCATATAGATTTTTCAGCTTTGCAAAAGTACATAGTTTAGAGTCGTGATTTTTCGTAATTTTATAAATATACGAACAAGACCACCGTAAGTACTGCATGCAATTAAAGAATTCAATACCTTAAAAGTTTAACTTATCAAAATGGAATTAAAATACGTCAAATTCACTGGGCCAATTTGTTTTATGGACCAAAATCTAGGACCAACTTGTTCCAGTTTGAAAATTACTTAAAAAATTGATATCTGTTTTATTGAGGTCCAATAAAGTAATGTCATTTTTTTTTACTGGAAAAAAAGATATGGAGAACTAGAGTTGTGTTATAAATAAGGATATAATTTAAGAATTATATATAAACAACAAACTTTATTTAATTTGACATTAATTCCATGTAGATCTCGTTTAGACAAATGAAAGTTTTTATTCCTCAAAATTTTGAAACTAATCACTAATCTGTTGGATTTTGATAGCTATGAAACTGTTTTGGTAGAAGTGTGTAGCTTGTTAGTTTTAAATTACTGCAGTGGTGACTATATTTTTCTTCTATGTTAGATTTGTTTCTTTACAAATTTCCCCTGCTCGTTTTTCCTAATACATTGTAAATTTCCTTTTTTTCATGCTACAATGTAACAATGAAACTCTGTGCAGATAAAATGGTACGGCTAACATAGCACTGTGTTGAATGTTTATGAGTGCAATGATAAGAATAATTTCATAAGGTGACAGATGGAATGTTCCATTCCAAGAGACGAAGCATGTTCCATTCCAAGAGGCGAAGCTCGTGAAATTATTCTTTCCATTGCTCGAATGTGAAGCAACTTTTAATACAACACCGAAATAAATCCTCGTCATCTGATTGGTCAGAGCCACCAATAGTGTGGCCGTGCAATGGAACTTCCATTCCGTTTATCGTGGAATGGAACTTCCATTCCGTTTATCGTGGAATGGAACTTCTATTCTTGCCGTGCGACCGGCTGTGTGTTGGGACGAATAATTTAATGACATGGGGCACGTTTTGGCGCTGTGACCGTAAACATGTTTCTGGTTCATGGCCGTTTTGGCGCTTCGGTTACACTGAAATGACGTCACTGTTTCGACCAAAGTTGAACCGAGGTTTCCGGTCGGTTCACTAATGTTTCAAGATGGCGGAAAGGTAAACAAGCTCAGCAGACGACGTTACTTTTTACCATAAATGGGGTTAAAATAGTGGGTTTTTACCTTCAATTGGTACAAAAGTTGATACAGAATATCAGGCCTACTCTTTTTTAGAACTTTAGTGAAACGCTATAAAAAAAACTCCCAATTTTGCTTTGAATGTTATTGTTAATCATGTCCGGTCGCCGCGTGATTTTTTTTGGGGTTGTGTGCAGTCACGTACGTAGGCAGTAACATGACGCCATGAACAATTTTCCGGGCAGTCGTTTTTGCGGTGCACAGGAAACATGTTTCACGTCACGGCTGGGACGTCAGAAACATGTTCCAGTTCAAGGGCCGCCAAAAAGTGATGGGGATTTATTTCAGGCGTTGTATAATAAAACATATTCCCCGCTTTTAAAGTTGGCAGCGCTTGTTGGAAATTGTCTACGTGAAATTAACATCGGTTGAATATGAACAAGTTTTAGTATCCCATGAGATGTTTATCATAGTACGATTCGATATATATTTTACTATAATTGATAGTATTTGGCAATAAATTTATTAAATGTGCACGATAAACAAATATTATGTACATGATTGAATCATATTTGTAAACAGAGATAGATTAAACTGTGAAAATGGGGAAACGATTTTTCACTGAACATTTTATAATCTTAATGGTACTGGTATGTACCAGAAGGTACAAGAATTACACATAAGTTACTGGCCTTATTTTACAAACCTGCAGCTGAGTAATAAGTTGTAAAGTTGTTACGCCCCAACTATGGTTGGATCGTCCCAATGGACCGATCCAGTAAGCACCGCCCCATTGTGTTCTGACCAATTACAGCCGTGATTTATGTCCGACGTGCGTGCACAAAAGTCCGACATGCGTGCACGCGCGTATGATGCGCGCGGAAGGAAAATGCAGCGTGGCCGGCATTGGAGAGGAGCACGTGTTAATGGTGTTAATTTGCCCACGTGCGCACTGGGCGGAGCTTACTGGATCGGTCCAATGGCTTGGCAAAAAAATAAGTTGGGGGAGGGGGCAGCATGTTATGAGGAGGCACCAAGATCAGACCCAATTTATTTTCCCCAAATTTCCAGGGCACCGACTGGATGTGGGAGGGGGGTGGGGGGGGGGGGGGGGGGGGCTGGACCTCTTTTGATGCTAGAGGGCCCTCTTTTTTCTAACCAATTTAATCACATTTCATAAAGCACTCTTTCGCTTGATGGCAACGGTACCGTCACGGCGCAAGCAAATGGCAGGTCGACCTGAGGGCGCGGCTTCTTAGTCACTTTCTCTTCAGATTATAGTGGTTTTCTGTTCGAATTATGAATCACCAAAAATTGAAAATATTTATAATTATTTTATATATATAAAGTTTACTCTGACTTGCAGTCATGAAGTGAAACTAACTGTACATTGCAAAGGTAAATGTTCTTTCAGCAAAACAAAAAGAATTCACACGCATCCCTATGAGAATTGTTTTTGCTGAAGGAGCACTTAAATTTTTTTTATGCTCCGTGGACAGAACTTTAAAACGGTGTTTGTGTTCAAAATTCCGTAAATTGAAAAGTACATGCTAAAGCCCCCCCCCCCCCAGCCTCCCTGTAGAACCGCGCCTGAAAGATAGGCGTACTGTTCAAAATTACAAAAAAATAGGGTCATTAGAATAAACAAAAATACTGCTTAAAGTTTCTCTACCCACGCCTAAGTTTTATTCTCCTAACGAAATTTCAATTTATATGTTTTATCTTTACGGAAATACTATTTCTCTATCTTGGACGTTTTTACCCTCTGAAAATATGCTTTTCTTATAGGTTGCTTCAGTTGCGCCCCAAAACGCACAAAATGATACGCCTGAATTATTTTCGGACCGCAAATAAATAATTCCATAACTAAACACGACTGGTCAAATGTGAATAACTTTTGTATTGCTAGAAAATCTATTTTTCGGGGTGAAACTCGAAAATAGCACAGGAGGAGCAACTTTAAGATTGCAAAAGTCATTTTGGAACTAGAAATCACTCCGACTAAAAACAAAAGAGGGCCCGGACCCCAGTGGCGGTAGTCTGAGTATCACCCGTTATTCACGGGTTATCCACGGAGCCAAGTCTCCTGTATAACGTCTGATATGTCTAAAAATGCAGATATATGCGAGCCGCGCGCCAGCCAATCGGAGTCGACTTTACTAAATCATGACTTCATTTCATTCCCAAATCGGACTAATGGTTTGATTGGTCAATTCGAATGCAGTGCTTTGTAATACAACAACAGCCGAGCGCATATCGCGTAACATCATGATATAGAGCGCGTGACACTAGGTTATCCGTCTATGATGCGACAACGGGTGAATGACCGAAGACCCGATATATAGAAAGCGCCCGCTGATTGGTCAAAATCTAGAGGTCAAGATGTGGTTGTCTTGCATAATTAATCAGCGAATCTGCTCAAATGTGGAGTATAATTTTTTTTTTGGGGGGGGGGGGGGCAAGGACATTTGGGGGGGAGGGGGGGCAGTCAAAATACAAGCTTAAGCCTGTGTACGCGCGCGTGCCCAATGGTCCGGAAATAACCACTTAGAGCAACTTAGAGTGTAGTCGTTTTTATCAATGAGAAATGTATCAAACCGCAGAATACATTGTAAATGGTGTATAAGAAATGTATAACAAATGTACAAAGACGTTGGCTGCACACTATCTACGGCTGTATAAATGTATGTAGGCCCTACACGCACACGTGGCGTGTTTTTGTCTACTAATTACCAATGTTTATAATTCTTTCACTGTCCCAAAATGTGTCCACATTTTATACAGCGGCGCAGAGATCAGAAAATAAACATAATTAATCTATTTGTTGAGGGTTGGGAGAAAACCGGGGGGGGGGGGACTTGGGGGGGGGGGGGAACTGGGGGTGGGAATGCCCCCATGGCCTCCCCCTCCCCCCCTCTAGCTCTAGCGCCGCCACTGCCGGACCCGTCATCAGTACTTCACAATCGACCAGATTACACGTCAGCACGAATTCTCCAATTTTAATACGAGTTTCACACCCCTAGGGGCCTGCCTAGTAATAAACAGCCATAGCTTGCGCAAACTGTGGATTGCTGCATGTAGGCCTTAATTATGCGCTCTGTTCATGTCAGAAGTAATTTTACTTTTTGTGCATATTTTCATTTGAAGCAACGAAATTGCTCAAAATCAGTAGGGTGCGCGACTACATAGGCATAAGCCTGTTGAAGTTTCAGCGCAGTGGATAATTTACATTTTGAGAAAACAGAGTAGGGCCTCTGGCATGTCTGGAGGCTTTGCACAATTGTGGGGTCTCGTAACTGGATTCCATTGCTAATGCACGTTAAAAAGAAACCTGTAAAAAGTGTGCCCGTGGGCACACTTTTTAAACCACAATAATGCTCAAGTATATGCTTCAATTTCAGGCGGAGTAATGTCACATCGTATTTGGTATCTCTCTTCGCTTTAAGCAACGATTTTCTTCCGGTTAATGCACCTCACGGGTGTCATTTGTTTATAGACCTTTCTCTTGTTTGTAAACAGTACGGTACATGTGACGTGCGGGTCGGTAAATTTGTGCCAGCCACGTGCGGGTCGGCAATTGCAAAGAAAGACACATGTGTTGCCTTTAATTTTCGGTGTTAGATGGGTTCTCAATTGAACATAACAAAAGAGCATAACGAAATTTAATACACAGTCTGGGAACCATTTAATTCTTAAAGCGCTGTAAAGACTGGTTCCTTATCCCACTATCGTCTATCTGTAATTCTACCTAGGATGGGAACCAGTCTACAACTACATTCCAAATTCCCACGTATGCCCGTAACACGGGTTAAAGGTGATTTTTTTCTCGTGGATACCGAATCCAAATATTGTCAACATTGCGTACGTGACTGGAACAGCGTGTAGCACACTTCCGCGGTTTGGCAGACCGATTTCTCACGGTGATGTCCCTCAGCTTTGCACGTAGCACGCACGTTGACTTGACTTGTACTTCAATATGAATGATTAATATGAAGCAATATCGGGGCCTACGTGCATAACGATTGTTGTGTTATATTTCGGGAATGGGCAAAGGAGCCGTTGGCCTATCAATAGCGTTTGTTTCCTGTATGGCTTTTCTTGTACCGCCACTTCTGCATGGCAGCATCAGTTGTTCAGTCGAAACACCCAGCCAAAGACGGCGGCAGCAAACTGTGCGCTTACGACCTGTGCCGGCAGATGGAAAATCTGAAGGTCTGTGGCCGCTGCAGAGAAACATGGTACTGTTGTAAGGACCATCAGAAGCAACATTGGAAAGTACATAAAAAGTCGTGTAATATCAACCAGACCTCATTACAGAATGATCGCATGGAGAGTGAAGATGTCATCTTAAGTCAGCAAACTACTGCGCCTGCAGAATCAAATCCTAGACTCCAGTCTGAGGCCGAAAGCACCAAGGTCCAGGAGGACATTGCCAAATTCTCGGCTAATATTCAAAGGAAGCAGTCGTACACTCTAACGCCCTGCGACAACGAGGAGAATTTTAACGCAGCTCTGGAATCAGAGTTTGACCGCGGTAAAGATTTTCATCAGTCAATTAAGCCAGTAGTTCATTCCAGGGAAACGAGAAGTAAACAAGAGAACATGCCGCCCAACCAACCTACGCCGGGAGTCATAAACACTGCTCATCCGAGGAGCAAGAAAAGTAACGCGCTGGTCAAGTATGTCGTGGAGCACATGCAAAAGTTTGGTATATGCGTCGTGGACAAATTCCTCAATCCGGAAAATGGGGATGCCATATTGGAAGAAGTGAAGGCCTTGCGAGATGAGAAAGCATTCCATGATGGCCAGTTGGTTTCAGATTCCGCATCCGCAAAGGACATTCGTGGAGACATGATCACGTGGACAGACGGCAGTGATCCAGGAACGAAAAACATTGGCTTCCTCATTTCTAGAATTGACTCGATCATTCATCAGTGCAAGGGGCATCTTGAAGGGTTCAAAAATATCAGTGGTCGGACAGAGGTAAGATACAGTCCACTGAAATGTAGCCTAGGATCTACTGGTAGGCATGGTAGGTACCACTGTAGAATTGCCCTTTGTTGAGTTTGGGAGAAAATGACCAGCGTTTACCTCCTCACATTGAACATAGTCTCATTTGATCGGTAAACTTGTCCAAAAAATGTGCTGTAGTGTAAGGTGATTTACCTAAGTGGAAATTAGGCCTCCACAAGCTGCATTGCAATAATGTATCCCTTTTTTTCAGTAGAGGACCCTCTTTCCATTTCGGTAATTTGACATGACACGGCTGGCTATGTCGGAATTACTTGGCTACGGATTTGCAATTACACGTGTGCCTATGGACGTGGCTGAAGCCCATTCCCAGAGACCCAAAGTGTCGCTACCAACCAAAGCCAAGTAATTCGACAGTGCCCAACTTTGGCAAAGTTTACCAGGCGTCCACAGTGATGCCACAACATGCTGCGAAGCTGTGAAAGAAATGAGACTACGTTGTCATGATTGCGAAAATGAGTGCCTGGGGAAATTGTCACATCAAAACTACATTTAATGTTCAAATTGGTAAGTGAAATGCTCTGTTCCTTAAGGCCAAAAAAAAAAGTCTCCGGTTTCTGGTATGCGCGCGCGTCGCCGTAGCCATGCACGTCGACAAAATGAAAAAGTTTTTTTTTCAATAAAAGATGATGTCTCAAAACCGCCAAACTCACTGGTTTGACTGGAATCCTGCTGCTGCACAATTTTAATGTGTTTTTAGATGGGGTTATGATCGAGAATAAGCTTTATGTGGCCTCTCTGGACTCCCATATATTTGCACTAAGTTTAGTCGGGCATCATTTGCAGTCATCAGCCAACATTTGAAGCAAAAAAAAACGGGAACCACTTTTTGGGCAAGCTCCATACCAGCCGGAGGCTTTTTTGGGGGGCCTAAGGTAGACCCCTATGTCGAAAATGATCAGAGAATTGAGTTTATTCAGACAAATCAACAACTAAAATTGCTGGGGGATTTTTTTAAAGGCACTTTAAACGATATTAAGCCAGAATGGCACTGAACATGTGCAGTGACTGTTTTTTGAGGGACTTCGAAATTATTACCGTGACAAATCTTGGTAGGTTTCCGCGCGAACATTGTCGTTGTGACTTCGTATTCATGAGATGGGAATCAGACCATTTTACAATTTTGGACTTTATTTCCCTTAAAAAAAGTCCTTCAGAGCCACGAATCGGAAGAAAGAAAATGTAATACTCTGCAATTAAATGTTGGAGTAGAGAATATTCTTAATTTTTTGAGATGAAAAGTAAACAAGAAAGTGAAAATGTCGTTAGTCGGGCTAGAAGTAGGGATAGATGCGCTATCCACTTGGCCACAGATGTTGCTCAAACGATGGTGGTAATTTAATAGGTTTTATAATGTAGGCCTACTTGTATACGCGTCAAAAAGGGCTCGTATTATTATCTTTTTTAAACTGGGAATTCAGACGCCTTGACAGTTTCTGAAAATTTACACTTATTTTTAATTTCTTACTTTCTAAAAAAGTTTAAAGAAGTTTGCATTTTCTGGCATGGCAACTAAATGTTTCTAGAGTTAGAAATATAGGCCATATAGTTCACCCCTAAAAGAGTTGCCATCCAGTACAGTAATTCCGCATTTTGTTTCCATTGTTGTGGTTCTTTGGTGGCTGGACATTCACAAAAATGTAACCTCTGAACTTGAAATATCCTCTTTTAATATCCTCTCGCTCTCTGACAATACCTATTGTGAGTAGGATCCCAGAAACTTAATTGTCTGTTTGGGGTCTACTTGCCTTAGGGCTGCCCCGGATCATTAACTCTTTTGATTTTTTTCTTTTTGTACCCTCAAATTCACCCCTGTAAAGTTTCACACCCCCTTTTGCTTGTACCTGTTCATCTCGCCGAGGGTGAACATGGCGCGGGAATAGGTGGGCATGGACATTGCCTGGTCTACACAATGTAGTTCCCAGACCTAGTAACTTTAAGGTACAGTACATATTTGTCATTTGTGCGTTTTTTTCATTTGAAGCAACAAAAGTGCTCAAAATCTAAAGACGGGTGTTTAACAACTAACCTGATGAAGTTTTAGCTCAGTGAATGCTGTCTATTCCGAGAAAACAATAGTCATGTTTTGAATTGCGCCCGAAATCAGTGTCCGGGACACGTTCTCATTCAGCAGATTGCAACTATGCGATGTCACGCTATGAACTGACAAATAATAGCAACCGTGCGCGAGCGTGCGTCGTGTCGGCACTTATTCATGGCTTCGCCGAAATAAAAACGAACTACTAACGGAACTTTCCAAAAATATACACATGTATCTTTAGACGCATCTTTGGAAGTAAAACTTCTTTTGTTATATTCCTCAAAATCACAGCATGCCAGAAGGAACAATTTTACGGGGAGTTTAGTGCCACATTGCTGTCTTTAAACCAAGTGTGGTTTTAAAAAAATCATTTCTTCTGCCAGTTAATTTTTGGATAGCTGCAAATGATGTACAATACTCCACCTTTAATGGATCCATGCGATGAATTTTTCTTAGGAACACACTTTGTGCAAAGTTTTATGTACTACTCCTCTTAAATGTGTAAAAACTATGTGACACCCCTTTTTTATTACTTTTATCAAAAAGTGCAATTCTTTCAACATCAAGATTTTCCATGCTTTTTGAGACAACTGAGGGAGCTGTTGCTATGACGTCATTTCAGGAAGACATTGTTGAGGCTAGGGTTTTCTGTTTAAAATTGTGAACCCAAAATTTGCTCATTGAAAACACTTGTGAGAAAGGGATGCTCATTGGCTGACTGCAATGTTCATGAAACACAACAACGAATCACCAAAGAAAAGAAAAATTACGACAGCAAAATATCTAAAATTCCAGCAACTTTTTTGTGCTGAAATAGCTGTAACATTGAGTTTTCTGCCCGGAATGACATCACAGTTTTGCTCATGAATAAATCCGGAAATTTGCATCAGCATAACAACTAAAAAGGCACCAAAATACCCTTCAAAATGGCAAAACGAAAATTGAAAATGAGGTGACCGCCAGAATACCGGTACTACTAATAAGCTTGTAAACTTGGTGTGATTAAAGATCGTAATGACCTAAATTCCATGTGAAATTAGTCCTTCCAGCATGCTGTCATTTTGAAGAAAACAATAAAAGAAGGTCATTTCCAAAGATGTGTCAAGTGACACATTTTTGGAAATTTCTGTTAGTAGTTGGTTTGTAATTGGGTGAATCCGTGACTGCGTGCCCGCGCAAGCATTGACAGGACGCACACGCACGCGGTTGCTATAATTCATTGGATCAGTGCGTTCAGAATGTGAAGATTTTGAACAGTTTTTTTGTTCAAATGAAATAAAAAATGAACAATTTACAAATGGTCCACTCTGCCTTTAAGGTGCTGTCAAACACTACAGGCCTACATAAAGTACTGAAGCTACATGTATGTTTCTCAGCCCCCCCCCAAAAAGATTTAGTTTTGGTTTGCGGTAACACCATGTGGGGATAACAACTGTCGCTCTACTGACAGTAGATTTGTCCTGCTTAGTTCAAAAATAACTTTTTCTGCTTATTATCTATTTTCGCTAAGTAGGTTGAAAGGCAGTGCGACTTCTCGCAATTAACTTCACTGAGGCTGAGTCTACCTGAGTGAGATAAGTTTGGTCTCAATGTTTCACTCTTTATCTCACTCGGCCTCAGTGAAGATAATTCAGGCGATTCACAATGCAGTGCGCCACCAAGAGTTTGCCTCAGAGAGTTCATTTTTCCCAGTGCATTGTGGGAGATGGTCGACAAATTCGCAGCGCGGGACATTTGAAAAGTTAGTTTTTCCGGTCTGCCTAGTTTCGTAAGCGTATGATTGGAGGATCTGTTTGCCCTTTTCTTTTCTTTGTATCAATATGGTGTTTTCTGTAAGGTGGCAGAACGCTATGCCCAATCTATATGGCATATTAGCTCAAGTTGTCTGCTGACACTCATTCAAATGGGCCATGTTTTGTCGACCGTAGAGCTGGAAAATGGACTTTCCATGTCAAACTCTTGGTGGCGCTCTGCATTGTGAATCGCCCGAATTGCGAGAAGTCCCACCGCCTTCCAACCTACTTTAGCAAAAGTAGATAATAAGCAAGAGAAGGTATTTTTGAACTAAGCAGAACAAAATCTACTGAGCGACAGTAGAATTTCCACATGGTGTTACCGCGCAAACCGAAACTATATCGATACTCCACCATGCAAAGCCTAAAATCAAATATAAAAAAATTATTACCAGCCAAAATTTCGTTTGATGCAGCTTGTTAATTGTGACTGGTTCTAATTTTTTTGGCTCAGTTTATAAATTTGATGAACAATAATTTCTGATTAGCAGAGCTCCATCCTTCTTATAATAATAATAATAATAATAATAATAATAACAGGTTCTTATATAGTGCTTTTAACTAAGATCAAAGCGCTTTACATTATTATTGCAAGGGTAAAAGTGTAAACATAGATTTTTGGTATCTATCAGATATGAACTTGAACTCTTATCCCTCCGTGAGGAAATAGGCCCCAGCTTTACAAAGCGTTTATCTTTTTTTTCTTATAAATACATGTAAGTCTGGTAACATGGTTTGAATTTCAGCACAATGAGGGTACATGTATACACGTATACACATACATCATGTACAAGCACATTGTACATGTGTCATTGCTAGCAATAAGAAAAGTCAGGCTAAACATTCTCAGTGCACTGTGCAATACAGTGTAGGGGCCACTGATCTCTATATAAAGACTGGATAGCGGATATGCATACAACATTCACACAGTAGACTTTGCATATTGACCAATTCGCCCCGGTCTCACGAAGATGGCCGCGTATAATACGAACGTTCTACGCGTAAATACGCGCGCGTTGTATCAACAGTTGACGCGCATTTTGGTCACGTACACATAATATGATGTTCTAAAAGGAACACATTTCCGTCGTGATTATTATTTCAAAAACGCCGAAAAA